AAATGCTGGTGAAGATTCTCAGTCATCCAGGACATAACTTCAAAAACGTTCATTACAAAAAACAACTGGACTTTATTTAACAGAAGAATGAGGAGCGAAACGTCTTCTGTTACAAATAAAGTCCAGTTGTTTTTTTGTATTGAACGTTTTTGAAGCCCTTCAACAAACTTAAAGTGGTCTGTGGGCCACCAGTTGAGAATCCCAGTTGTAGCTAGGTATTGTGGCTCCGGACACGTTTAATTTAGTGAACAAAGAGGCAGAAATGGCTCTTAAAGGTTGCATCCCTCTGTTCTAAAGAGTCAAATAGTTTGTCGTTTTCAGTTTTATTATTGTAACCATATATATTAACTGCAACAAAAGTATTGTTATGGTTTCCAAGTACTGAGCAGATGTAGTGTCCTGGGTGTCACAGTCAGAATGTAGTGCCAGAGAAATAGTTTTTAAATGTGGCAACACCAGCGGAGCGTTCAGGCCATGAGATAACCAGACTTCATTTCCTCATTGTGATTTCCAGAAATTATTGTCAGCAGATGTGGAATGACTCTCTTGAAAAAAACAAACACCAGTTTTAAGTTCTTTGGCAAATAAAAGTAACGCTTTGCGTTTACAAGCTTGTCTTAACCCCTGGCCTTAAGAGAAACTAATGAAAAAGACAAAGTTACTAGAAAATATTAACAAGTATAAATTTCTAAAGCTAAGGGTGTATTCACAAGGAAAGGGATCGAGTCCTGCATGGTTTGAGTATTATAACGGTAAATAACCTAAGTAAGTCTACCAAAAATATAGCACTTACTGGTAAATGTTCGTTTTGATTTAACAGTAGTAATTTAAAAACTTCTAAATAGTACAAGGTAAGTTTTTGTACAAAATAATACAATAACCGAGGGTAATTATAAATTATTAAAAGGAAACTAAAAGCGTAGTCATAATATAGACAAGGTTCATCATGTAAATTAATTCACAAAAAGGTCATTTTTAAATTTAGGACTGGACCCTGGACTTTTATGTTGTAAATATGATATGCCCCTTTAGGGTTTTTTTGTAATTAATTTTGGGTTTTTGTTTGTACGGTTTTATTTTGTATTCTTCTAATTTGGTTAGATTTGTTTGCTAGTTGTAACTTTGTAAAGACGTAGTGTGAACACATTATGTATATATTAAGGTGCCTTTATTGATGTTTGTATACGTTTAATAATAAATAAATAAAGCGTCTCCTCGGTCGCTGATTTGATGACGCAAACAAATCGCGTCAGTCGCAGATTTTATGACGTACGTACTGCGCCGTTTGTTGTCCGGGCGCCAGCAATCAAGAGAATATCCAAGCCTGCTTTACCTTGAAATAACCCAATAACTTTTATTGTTTTTGTCACAATTTACGCATTTTTGAAGTATAAGGTAAGCGTTTTAAAAATATTTGGATTGTGTTTCATATGAGTGTTTCATATTTTTCTTTTCCGATTCTTTCTTGGCTAACGATAGCTCAAGTCCATCGGTCTTTAGCGGTCCATGATAATACTCATAGACATGATTACATGTGTGTTTATTTGTTTCCTATTCTAACTGTTGTCTTGTTCAGGTTAATATTTGCTCATTCTGGATCAAAGATGTCGTACATGTTGCCACATCTCCACAATGGCTGGCAAGTGGACCAAGCCATCCTGTCGGAGGAGGACCGAGTCCTTGTTATCCGCTTCGGTCACGACTGGGACCCAACATGTATGAAGATGGACGAAGTTCTTTATAGCATTGCTGAAAAGGTCTCACAGTTTTCTTGTCTATCCGTGTCTCTGTCAGTAACCAGATCTGCTTCTGAGCTTTGAGTCTGACTCGACGTTTTTCTAATGAAAGTTACAGCTGATTAAAGCAGATTCTGTGTATTGGACTGTGGTAAGTCCAGTCTAAACCTGGTTCTCATGTCCACTCTATTAAACCCTCGAACTCCTGCAACGCTCCTTGTTACACGTTTCCTCTTCAACTGATTAAAAACTATATTCAGTGATCCATTGAACCGCTGAATAAAAACAAGAAACATAATCTTCAATTATTTTTAAATTCCCCTGATATTTTTTACTTGAACTTTCAGGATTAGATAATTAATATTTATACATTTGTGTTTCCTCAATATCAAAGCTTAAAAAAGACACCAGTGATCAGTCGGACAATGAGTTGCGTATAGAAACAAATGCACAATGCTACACGATTATCCTCCTCAGTTGTAAAAACTTCAGTCATTCTGAAATTCAGACATTTACCTTAAACTGCCTTTAGACAAATATTTTCAACTGTATAAGCTCTCTTATGAGGATATTAAGCTCAGAACATTGCTTTATTTTCCCGCAGTCAGTTTTGAACATTAGAACTAGACGCTCAAATTAGTTAATGAAGCATTTAAATTCATTAACATGTTCATCTTTACAACTAACAGTATATTTCTAACTGACTTCCATCCATTAACTTCTGCTTGTTCCTAAGTTGAGTCTCGAGGGCAGCAGCTTGAGCAGGGAGGTTCAGACATCTCTTTCCACAGCCGCCTCTTCCAGCTCTTCTGGGAGAACCCCAAGGTGTTCCCAGGCCAACTGAGAGACTTACTGTGTCCAGCATGTCCTGGGTCTTCCTCGGGGTCTCCTCCCTGTCGGACATGCCTAAGCACCTCCCTAGGAGGTGCCCAGGGAGCATCCTTACCAGATGCCTGAACTGACTTTCCAGTTGTGTTTGTGCTCTTGTTGAACAGCATTAAAATGTAAAAGTCTTAATTTTTACTGTAATTTTGTGGAGCAGCTGTGAGTGAGTGGTTAGAGCAGTCGTCCTCCATTGTTAGAGTTGGGGGTTCAATTCCACCAGCAGTCACATGCTGAAGTGTCCCTGGGCAAGACACTGAACCCCTCTTTGTCTCTGGTGTGTGTCCCATCGTGTTTGAATGTGATAAAGCTCTGATTATTCTGCACACATTCAGATTATCTTTGTACAGATTTAGTAGAGTGCCGTAGTGTGTTGGAGGTAAATGAGGCACAGATTGTGTTTTTAAGAGCTTTGAGCATCTTGATTAGATAGAAAGGAGCTAAATGAGTACAGTCCATTTACCATTTTAAAAGATATATTCTCTCGTTGCTCACGGGGGATCCGTACCCTGAAGCCCCATGATAAGTGAAAAACTGTAAAGTAGGGATAGTACAAGTAGTAAGTAGTAGTTTCTTTTACAGACCCTTTCCAAAAAATGAGAATATCATGGAAAAGTTGTTTAACTTCCATAATTCCATTCAAAAAGTTGATCTTTAATAGATGATAGTCAGTTTTCTTTAGCGTTGTTTTATTTCTTTTGACAGGTAAAGAATTTTGCCGTCATTTATCTGGTGGACATCACAGAAGTGCCTGATTTCAACAAGATGTACGAGCTGTACGACCCGTGCACCATCATGTTCTTTTTCAGGTGGGGCTCGGTGTAAACGCTGCAGCAGGACCAGTCTAACACCAGTCTGACTCGGCTTTGTAAAATGATGTTGTTGCTTTTCTCGTCTTTTCTCTCCCAGAAACAAACACATCATGATTGATCTGGGCACCGGTAACAACAACAAGATCAACTGGATCATCGAGGACAAGCAGGAGATGATAGACATTGTTGAAACGGTTTATCGAGGAGCGAGAAAAGGACGAGGTCTGGTGGTGTCCCCCAAGGATTATTCCACAAAATACAGATATTGATTTTTTTCTTCTTTTTTTTGTTTGGTTGCCTTTCTTGATGTTTCTTTTGGCTCAGATGAACGACCGCAGCCAACGAAAGCATCGTTCGTCGTTCTTATCTTCTCAGTGAAGCAGGACAGGATTGTTCTCAGAGGTCTCAATAATGTTACTTTGTTTTACTTGTGCAAACTCTGTTAGGTCGATATTAGTTGTTGTTTTCAAAGGCTTATTTCTGTGAAATAAGTGTGAAACAGGTCCATCACATTGTGCAAGACTCCATATTTACCTGCTGGAATAAACATAGATAAAGATATTTTCACTGAATTTTGCTTTTTCACGTTTTGTTTTTAAATATCTTATATATATATATATATATAAGATATATATGGTGTCTTTCAGTGCTCACTAAGTAAAAAATAGACAAATGGTCATCGTTTGTCTCCTCTCAGGGGTTATAGAGATAATTACATTTAGTAACAGATTACCGTAAATGTCATACAGTGGTGCTTGAAAGTTTGTGAGCTCTTTATAATTTTCTATAT